TCTAAAGAAAGACTTCAATCATTTGAAGACTAGATAGATAACACAAAAAGTTGTTTCTTCAGTAAGTAATCTTAAGTTTAGTGGATAAAGCCTGGCTGGTAGTAAGACAGCAATAATATACTAAAGAACTCGCTAGTCTTCCACTACTGATAAATAAAGGTCTCCTGGTTCCTAGTATATGAAAATGTTAGGAAGTTTATAAATTCACAAATTCAACTCATCTTTCCCACAAGGACTCTGAACTAAGCGATAAGTAAATTACTGGCTATCTGGAATACTGTCCTAGCACTTTTAAGCTTTCCAAAGGACAGCAATTTTTTATCGCCTCTCGAACTTCCCACTGGAAAACTTTTCTTCAAGAATTTAAAGAAAAAAATTAAAAAAAAAAACTAATTGCCTTCTGAGAATTTCATCCCTTGACTTCATTTGGTATTACTGGGAATGCTGCCAGATACAAGAATTCTGGATGCTGCTGGAAGTTTATTTATCATTTAGCATCTTTCCTATATTTGGATGATCTTCTATTTGAGAGTATATGCTTTAAAAAGAAAAAGAAATATCGCCAGGAAGCAGTGAGAGAGCTGACAAATTATGTCAGACAATTACCAAGAATAAAGTAAAATAAGTCAACTTGAATGAAATTCTTTCTGAGTCAAAAGAGTCATATACAATTATGTGCTGAATTTACTTGAAGCCAGAGAGGTATTTTTGTATATGACAAGTATTTGATATGAAATTTTGGAGGATGAAGACAAATTTGAGAAAATTCCTTATTTATTAAGCTCCTAGGGGGAAAGCCAGGAGAAGTTTAACTCTATCCTGGTAATAACTAAGGCTGACTTTAGACAAAACTACATGCTTCTTGAAGGCCAATTTTTTTATTTTTGATTCTGCAAAGGCTAAAAAAGCACCTGATGTATATTCATGGTTTTTAAATCAAAGTAAAATATGTTAAAATTTGTCTTGCAGGTTAGCAAACTCGTACCTGACATAGATTTCTGCTTTCTGCATGGCATTTCTTGATGCTCAGACACCAAGCCATTCCCCTTTCTTAGACATCTAAAACAACATTCATTCCATGTATTTTCTTCCATTCACAGTTTTCCACTATTAATCCCCAACTTTACTCACCCTGTCTCTACTAGGAAAATTGAAGTCATTAGGTTCACAGCATTATTATTTTTTTTTTTTCATTTTGTAATATCTGTCCCTGTTTCTTCTGTCTTGTCCTGGTAGATATTTCTACTTTCTTTCCAAGGCTTCTTTATTGTGTTTTTTGGTGGATTTAACCAGTAGTTCATTTGAAAATACTCAACGGCCAGTTTTTCTCAAAGAGTGTAAATGGTGGGGGTGGGGTAGGAGTTCTGGGTTGGTTGTATGTAAGGAAAACACATGCACAGGTGCCAAAAGGACCACTTTGGAAAAAAAAAAATGCATTCCCTTCCCTGAATTGCACATTTTTTCAGTCCTTAATCAGCTCACTTTTGAGACTTTTCAGTGTTTTCTTTTCCACACTGATTCTTTTTGTCTGCCAGTAATTATTAAGACACACATGTCACCTTAACATAAAAAGAAATTTGGGAGCTGGCTAGTTAGCTCAGTTGGTTAGAGCACCACCTTGTAACACCAAGGTCAAGGGTTCAGAGGCCTGTACTGGCCAGCCACCAAAAACAAACAAAAAAATTAAAATAAAAAAATCAATTTAACTCACTTCTGCTGCCACCTTTCTACAATCCTACCTCTCTTTTAAAACAAAGCTCCTCCAAGACACCTTTCTACAATCTTACACTATTCTCTTGTTAATCCCTGTATATTCTGCTTTCTCAAAGTTCACTAAGGTCCTCCTAATTACTAAGCCCGATGGAATTTTCTGTTTTTTTTTTTTTTTTTTAATATTATTTTCTTGAACCTCTCTCTATGGTTGCAGCCCTCTCCTTGATGTATAACTCAAAAGAACACTACTTTGATTCTGAATCATTTCTCCTCCAACTGGTCTCTAGAGAGAACACACGCATGCATTAACTCTCTCCCCAGCTTCCTCCCAGCCCTTACAGTGACTATTCCCCCCAAGATTCAGCCTTTATTCCATTTTTCCCTTTTAATATTCTTCTTCCGGGAGTCTATCTATTGGTATAATTCTGTTATCACATGTATAATTAGCATGTCCAAATTGACATCTTCTGCTCTCATCTGGCAACAGAACGCCAGAATGGTTCCTCCACAATTTATCTGAAACTCCCTTTTGGAATTGTCCTCTTCACCTCTCACTTCACTTTGCTATTGGTCACTGCTGATGGCACTAATTCTTCTAGGACTCCATTTCAAACTCTTCACCCTCTCTGTTTCCTCCTCCCATCTAATCAATAATGTACGGCATTCTCTAGATCGTGCCCTCACTGTAGTTTCTGCAACAGTCCCCATCCAATAAGTGTCTACAAAGAAGTTATAAAAAATTTCACACATATCCACACATGCCCCGCACTCTTCACAGTTCAAACTTTTTCTCAAGTGTTTCTACCTACCTTTCCCTCTCCTTGCACTTTTGAAAGCTTACCCTCCTTTAAGGCTAAACTCATATATCACCACTTCTAAAAAGTATTTCCTAGTTCTACCTGGGAGAAAAAAATTCACTCTCCCACCTGAATCCCATCACACTTTGTTTATATATTTAATATCACATCTGCCAGACGGCCTTACATGTCAACTATATATATAAGTATTGCTCTATTTCGAACCATAATTGTCAGCTCTTGGAAAGTGGTGGCCTTGTCATTCAGTTTTTCTTCAAAGTTAGACCTACTGTAGTGCTATACACATAGTAAGTGCTTAAAAATCCATCCCAAATTAAGCTAAGCTGAGAGGGGATTTAGGCAAGACCTTAAAGTATTAGTAAAATATTAAGAGATCTGCATTCAAATGCAGCCTATCTGAAATTCCCTTTGAAAGCCTGAAAGGCTTTAGATATATTATCCAAGAAAATGGTAGCCTAAGAAGGGTTCAATGATCTAAAACATAGGTACAACATCTTTCTTTTTATTTTTTCTTCCAGTGGGGAATTGGAATTAGATAAGAGGTTATTACTTAATGCCTAATTTATCTACCTGGAATTTCCAAAGAATAACATTTTTGTTGTAGTTATTATTGCTTTTATTTTTTGGTATGTATGTTTTTGCTTTTTACTTTGACAATTTTTAACTGAGTTGAGAAATCAAAGTAGGACAAAGGTACATTTAGAATAGTTATTCTGCTAGTTGAAAATCTAAAGACCTTAATGCTTATAATAGAAATCATGCAAGCATGTTCTAATGTTTTTGTTTTTCAGAACCACTTCAGGCTTTCAAATATAATCAAACTTTATTTATGAAAATATTTTATATGTGTATGTAGAATTCTGAAGTTTTCTAGCTATGTGCAATATCTGAAATTTTTAAAATTTTCATTCTGTATTTTTTTTATATTTAACACAAACAATATTGTACCTTTATGAGATTTTTTTTTTTCAATTTATACTGACAGAGTGACCAATCTAAACATGAAGTTAAATCATATCAAAGTAGGCTATATAGGGAGTAAATACTATAAATACTTTAAACAATAATTTTTTTATATATATGTAACACTACATTACCTTAAAGGCACATGTCCTCAACAAATTACTTGGCTGTTCTGAAAACAAAAATGTCTTTGGTGGCAATAATCAAACTATGCACTCTATTACTTGTGCTCACCTTTAGTTTTTTATTGGTTTAGAATCACAAAGAATTTACTCTATGTTAATTTTATCACTTCATTACCATCCTTGTAGCAAATTGTCATTTAAAATAATCCAGATGTATACAAAGGGAGAGCTGCCAGAGAACACCGAGAAGGAGGGGTGAGAGTGAGGAAAAGAAAGCAAAGCACAAGTTCTTTTGGATAATCCTAGTTTAACTGGATTGGTTTATATTATTTACTAATCAAACTGATAATGGACAAAAATTAAATCACAGCTATTAAAATCTCAACTAAAACAATTGATTGACTTAGTTTTATTTTCCCAGTGACCTAAATTAAATACAGTTATTCATACAAACTTAACGACAACACAGGTACACATCAGCTTTGCAAAACACTTGGGAGAAGTTCATGCTTCACGATAAACGTTCACCTACAGTCTTGCAGATCCAACTCTCTTTTGATCATAGTTTTTAGTGGCAAATACAAAATGTGAGCAGCAGAAGTAAAAATATCCACCCACTTAATTTTTATTTTGCCTGTTTACAGTCAGGTAAACATAGGCTGCTCTGAGACAAATTATTTCTGTATTTCTTCACAAAATACCCTAGGAGAAGATATAATTTTCTTAGTGTAAAACTCAGTCTTTATTCTGTCAGGCAAAGTAATTATGGAAGCAAAACAAATCCACATTGTCTAATTAGGTCATTAAAAAGAATAAATGCGTCATGGAAGCTTTTTTCCTTGCCTAAGACATAAAGTAAGACAATGAAAACAGTCTGGTAATATAGAAAAGGTTAGAATTTGTTTCTTTTCAAAAATAATAGGTCCTTTCATCTTTCTATTTCCCTTAGATGAAGACAGTTAATTTAGAGACAAAATCTTGTAATTAGTTCAGAGTTTACTCTGATTATATTACAAAATATTTAATCCAAAACAGAAAGATAGAGGAAAAAAAGAAAATACATGAAAAAATTATCAAAGGAAATGAATAAAATCAAGAGACTGAGGTTGCTGATCACGATACATTCTGCAGAGACAAGATGAATATAAAATCTATAGTTATATAAACGCGGCCAATGTCCAGAATGCTCTTAGGAGGAATATATTAGCATCTGCCTACAGGATTTGAAATCCAGACTTTAATTACAGCCAATTTAAATAAAAACAAATGGTATGATTATTTTGCCTCTTCCTCTCTCTACTTCTTACTATCTCTTGAATTTTAAAAAATTCATGGCTTAAAGAGTTAAGAAACAAAAAGGAAAAAAGGAAAGTAAACTTACCTGTGATCCTCTTTGCCCGCGTTTGTGATCCCATTCTGAATGCCCCATGAGCTATAAAGACAATACAATAATTTCAGTAAGTTAAATGATCATTCTACATGGCAAATATCTCTACTCTTTCTTTTAAAGAATAATTAGATTTTGAAATATTTGTTCTAATATTAATGTATTAAATAGCCACCATGAATAAATTAACATACCTAAAGCAATAAACTTTTGGTTTGATAGCTAATATTTCAACTTCTAGTTGCCTTAAAGGTATTTTAATATCACCCTGTGGCAAAAAGAATCTGCTAATGTACAGCTTTACTGCTCTTAGTCAGAAACATCCAGGTAGATGTTAAATCATTTAAAACTTTATTTGCATACCACTAAGATTTCAGTTTATTAGGAAAACAATGCTGAGTAACCCAAGAGTGTAGTTTAATTTACTGTCATGAATGATAAAAACCAGAAGGCTAAAATATTTCAATAATTTTTAACTCTGTTTCACTAATATCACAAAAACATGAGAGTTCTAAAGAATAAAATTAATTGTGAAATATGCCCCCAAAGTCACAAAATGTAGATTTTTTTTATAATAACAGAGGCTATAAAATATTATTGTGATTCCCCTAGCTGTAATAGCCTTGAGCTACTTTGCTTACAAGGCAGGACATTTATTTATTGAAAATAATATTTAACAGGAAGAATATTAAGGAAATACAAGATATCAACTGAGAGGAATGAAACCTCAGTTCATCTGTCCAGTACATTCAGTACTCATGAGTACCAAGTGAGGAATTACTTACAACTAATAAGCTAGCACACTTACAAGATGGACTATAAATATATTTATATGCACTATTAGCTTTTATATATAACAGCAATGACTCCTCAGTAAGTTTAATAACAGCTAAACTGTTTATGATAGCAATAATAAAAAATAATATGGCTCTGAACATTATCAAGAAATGTTTGATAACCATGAACAGAAAATGTTAAAACCTTACTGGTGGACGTACAATGCTATTGGTTAAGAAAATAGAATTCTATGAAATAATTAAGTGCTTAGCTCTACTCAAACAAATTTACAGGTTTAATTTGATTCTAATCATAAGTTAATAGCATTTAAAAAACAAGAACATAAAATTTCATCTAAGACAATAAACACATAAGAACCACTTATGTCAGATGAGTAAGTCTACATATGTAAGGTACAGCATGAGGGCTACAGTTAATAATGACATACACTAGAAATCTGCTAAGAAAGTAGATTTTAGATACTCATCACAAAAAGGTAACTAAGTGAGATGATGGATATGTTAATTTCTTTGAATGTAGTAATAACTTCACCATATACATACGTATATCAAAACATCATGTCAGGGGGCTGGCCAGTTAACTCATTTGATTAGAGCATGGTTTTGTAAACACCAAAGTCACAGGTTGAATCCCCATACCCACCAGCCACCAAAAAACAACAGAAAATACACATCATATTGAATAGCTCAAATACACACACACACACACACACACACACACGAACCAGTTAGAAAATGTTACAAGGGATGAAAATATCTTTCAGGTTATTAAAAGATATTATAAAACTTAACCCACATTATGAGATAATGGTTTAACACTCAAAATATAAATGAATGAGTTATTGTGGACAGCTTAAAATAAACACAAGTATACATATGTAGCAACAAAATATGAATGAGATCAAAAATCAATGAGTATTTGATGAATTATTTGACAAATGAAAAAGAGAAATTGACTTTTTGGAAATATAATTAGAGCTCAACCTTATAGCAAACACTTACATTAATTCTAGATTTAAAAGATTTAAATTAAAAATAAAGAAACTGTAAATATAAAATAGAATAAAATCCAGTTAACATTTAACCTACCTTGGAAAAATTAAAAGATTTAAAGACATTGAAATCGTTTTAAAGATTTTGTAAAAGTCACAGAAGAGGATCAATTGGTTTGGCTATGTAAAATTTCAGAATATCTGTACAAATGTCAATTGGTAAAATATGTGCAGTAAATGGTAGGTAAAGCATAATGTCTTCAGTACATTAAGAAGTGTTATTACAAATTTGAAAGAAACACAACCCTAGGAGGAAGGATAAAAACAATTCACAGAATAAATATCAAGTCAATAGACTTATGCAGAAAATTAAACTTGATTAGAATTGAAAAAAACTCAGTATAAATAATAAGATACTACTGTTGCCTATTAAATTAATAAATTAATAATGTTGAATATTGGTGAGAACTTAGGGAGATAAGTATGCATATTCTAGTACATAGCAAATATATTTATATTTGTGTATATATACATATAAATTTACACATATATATTACAAACATAATTTATGTATGTCCAGTATTCTTAAAAATTCATATCCTTTGAACCAGTAAATCAAAATGTAAAAGTCCAGTAATTACAATTAATTACTGTATTAATTGTAATCACTATTATCCAATAAAAGGGAAACTATTTAATAAATTATAATGTAGAAAAGAATACTATACAGCAATTAAAGTTTGAGTTTAAAGTTCTTTATAAAATATTACAACAGAAATACTCATGGTATAGTGAGTGAAAAATATAACTAAGTTTTTTTTTTTTTTTTCCCCTTTTTGTCTTTTTCGTGTCCGGCAATGGATCGCAACCTTCAGTGTCGCGCCCGTACCGGACCGGGACCGGCAACGGGATCGCAACCCTCGGTGTTGCTCCCACACCTCGCTCAGACAGTGAGCGGGAACCGGTCTGTATGTGGGATCCGAACCCTCAGCGGGAGCGCCACCACACTCTCAAGCAGCGCACTGTAGCAGTGCGCCACCGGGCCGGCCCTATAACAAAGTATTTTAAACTAATCATTTTTAATGAGACATAATCAATCATTACAATCCTTGGAATTATTGCAATAATTTAACTGTAGTTTGGAGATCACACACTTTTGGATAAATTAGCCCAGAAAATCATTATGTAAAATTGTATGCTTACATAGTTGATATTTTAATGTTTTAATATTTTTTAATTTCTGAATTTATTGGCATTATATATTCTAGAAAATATTCAATAACACTAATTTAAAGTTGATTATAAGGTTTGCAAACAGTAATCAACTAATGAAATAAATAGTATGACTTAGAAACATAAACATTAACATTTAATTATTTGTCCAGTAGACTATCAAAAACAATTCTTAACACATTTCAGTCATCTGCCTTATTGAGGAGTTGGGAATACCTTACATTAATAATAGGAAAACTAGATGCTTGCTTCTGAAAACTTTAAAGAGAGAAACTTCAGTAGTAGGCTGCTCATGAAATGATTTATCAAAATCTTCTGAAAAGAACACTGTAAAAGACTGACTATTATGACTGCTATCCTCCCTACTAAGTTTAAACTAAAAGGAGCTGGAAAACTTGGTAAATTATACTATGCATGGGTGTCACAGTAAAAAGAAGTGAATAAATCTCATATACGTAAATTCTAATCCACAAAAATTGAGTTGAGAGAGAATATTTGATGATGACATCAGGTGACAAAAGTAACATTTTTCCAGGACCAGAACTAAAACAAGAAAAGCACAGAATTCACTGTCCTCTGCCAATTAACTACCTTAAACATGATTTTTAGTTGAAGAACAAAAACATTCAAAATATACACTTATTTGGGTCATTACTTACTACAGAGGAGAATATCAATTTGATAATTTGCAAATCAGAGCTTACAAAATAAAACTCCAAAAATCACTGTCTATATCTGACTTTTTCTTTTGAAATAAAATACACTGGCAAATTTTACTGCTTTATGCGTCAGAGAGAGTTATTTCCTAGTATTATACAACTAACCAATGAGAGATATAGAGGAAAGAAATTATATTCTATTCTTATGTTTATATTACATAGTAATAGCATTATTATATTTGAAAGGTATGAGAGGAGCAAAAATGTGGTAATATATTCAAATATATACTATTGCTACTTTTTTCAAAATAATAAAAAAATTACAGAAATCTACATGCTATGTGAAATATACTCAAAAAGGAACTAACTCTGCATATGATAAATGAGATAGAGATGTTCTCTAGTCAATAAGAAGAGCATCAAAGAAAATTAACAGGATACTTTCCACTTTGGGCTTACGGAAATCATTCAAAGGATTTACCATTAAGATTCTATTTTAATTAAAATAATCTGAGCCAAAATTTGGCATTTATTATTTCAGTTCTAAGTGTATGAAGTTATAGTATTCTCTGTCATTTTTTTCAAATGCAAAGAAAGAGATGGTGGTGGGGGGGTGGGTAGGATAGAGAATCTATCGGGGCTCTCCTGCTCTCCATGGTTACAGCATCCTGGGCACTAGCTGGGCATGGGGTGGGGAGTCATGAAGTCACTGAGGGTATCCTTCATATTAGCACATGATAGCATATGGATTTTTATACTATTTGCACATAAAATTTGTACATAAGAACACTGTGTATTCAGATCATAGTCCAAAAAACTAAAATAAGCAGAATGTTTTAGTATCCTTTTTAGAAAACTATCCATAGTATGACAAACTGCCCTTTTAAAAAATTACACACTATTTACACTAAAATGAAGCATTTGTTGCTGGTTAAGTATTCCTGTTAAAACAGAACCATAGGGCTAAATATTTTACAAAGTACACAGACACCTCCCTATCCCTAATCTCTTGGCTAGTAACTACAAATGAAAAATATTGGTCAATAATAATGGTAAAAAAGATAGCTCACACGGTGAAGACAATGAATTTCAGAATCAATTGCAAATGGTGATATTCTATCATTGAGAAAGCTGAAACATTCAGTCAAACAGATAGGACTAGTATTAAATTGCAGACGACCAATATAGTCATTAAACATTATCATGGGATTAGATAAAAGATATTAATGGGACACAGACAATGAGGAACAGAAGTAGAAACTATGGAATTTTTTCTTTTTGCAATTTAATTCATCTGCACTAAGCTTTCAGGATAAATAGCAGCACGATACCTAAACAATTCTGAGAAAAGAATCAGAAA